ACACGATGAACTTTTTGTCAGTGGGAACTCGGAGCACTATTTCCCGAAATATCGATGCCGCATTTAGTAGTTGACTCGCCCCAAGTTGTGTGTGATCTTTGCCTGCACTCAGAATTCTCCGACGATAGCCTGGTAACTGTTACAATTTGGGACATTTAATAATCGATAATGTTCGTAGTTCCGCTGTTACTTTCAATCAAAACAAGCCTTGTCCGAGGTCTGGTAACTGCGCGTTCACATCAAACACTCGGACGAGCGACAGTCTTTCTAAACCTTACACAACTACATGTAACTGCGCTGACAAGACTAACGTACGGCCGTTGTCGTTGCTTTTGTCTGAACACATGAGGGATTTAAATAGATTTGTTGGTACATTTGGTCGGTCGGCCGCCGTCGTTATCCTAGAAGTAGAACGACTGTCGCTCATCCAAGTGTTTGGTGTGAACGCGCAGTTAGTCGGACCCGTTAATAAAATTGTTTCGATCACGCATTCGCGTGACGTGACATATCTTCGCCGTGTGACTTCTGCGTGTCGGGGACCGTCCGTTGACTGGGTCAGCTTAAGTTCATGTATTTCGGGACTTGTTGGTATAGACTCTTGAACTAGGAGTGCTTGAAGCGATGCTTTTACAGGATTTACAAAAAAATAAGGCAGGCACTATTTCTCCGAACGTTTGGGAAAATAAAGCTAGGCACTATTTCTCCGAACGTTCGGGAAAATAAAGCTAGGCACTATTTCTCCGAACGTTCGGGAAAATAAAGCTAGGCACTATTTCTCCGAACGTTTGGGAAAATAAAGCTAGGCACTACTTCTCAGAACGTTCGGGAAAATAAAGCTGGGCACTATTTCTCCGAGCACTCTGAAATCACATCCTTTCCACAAATTTCGGATATTATATAGATCTATAATTATAGTATAGGCCTACCAAAGATTGCTCGTACACTATGGTTCAATCGGTTCAAAAAATGTCCGCAGAAATGCTACAGTTCCAAACAGTTTTTCACTACAGATATGACGTGTTGCCTATGAAGGGCGCGTGTGCTGTGTAGATCTAGATCTAGGTCTACGAAGGGTTATTGATAACGACACATAGAACTAGCATAGATATCTGCGTTTGTCGCGGCCGCGACCAATCAATCGTGGCTCGATTTTTTGGCATTTTTTTGGTCCCCAAATCGGAGAATAAAAGTCAAATTAAAAAAAAAATTTTTTTAAAAGAAAGAAACCGAACCTCTTTACTTTTGAAAGAAAGTTCACCTTGCTTCACTTCGTCTCTTTCTCACTTGTTGTCATCACGTTGATTTGTTGAATACGTTACAGTTACTTTTTCGAAGTGTATACAGACCCGGTAACCGGGAACAAAGTCACGAAGTATACAGACCCGGTAGGGGGGAACTCTCTTTATTTTTCCCTCATTGTGGTGTTTTATTTTGTTTGGTGTGTATTTTTGTCTTTCTTGTTATTGTTCTGATGTGTTGTTTTTCTATCAATTTTTTAAAGGGGAAAAAGGGGGGGGGGGGGGGGGTTGTATAGCGTAACTTCATTTAATTTGATGTTCCTACCTTCATTAGATTCTATATATATAAATGTATATATATAGATTTAAATGTGTTATAATGTTAGAGCGTACGTTCCACCAAAACCGATCACTTGTACTGACCCTGGCAGGCCCCATAATGTGTGCGATTCCATAATTTACTTGTAATATTATATCCTGTACTTTAAAAAAAAATTACGCACATTTAGTGTTAAAACAGCCAATCTTCTTCGGACAGGTGGACTCACGCCCTTATTTGTTAATTTTTGTGGTTGTTTATGGGCTGTTCTAATTTTGATTTCATTCTGTTGTGAAACCCCTCTTTTTCACATTTTTACACTCATCTAAAAATCTCTAGTCTAACCAGACTAGCTCTTGAAAATTGAAATAGATATAGACCTAAAAATTTGCTCCTGTGTGTGTGTGTGTATGTGTGAGTGTGTCTGTGTGTGGTAGTACTGGTAGTAAGTGTGTAAGTGGAGAGTGAGGAGCGTGCGTGTGTTTGTTTTTCGGGCTTTATTTCAGCCTTTATTCAGTAACAACAGTTCAAAGTATACAAAAATAGAAACACAGGATTTATTCACTCCAGGGCTCATGAGTCGTTCCTCTCTTTCATTTTCACTCATTCATTCAATTCCCGTGTTCTCTCCCGCGGCTCATCCCCGTACATGACTTTCACACCCCACCCCCTCCCTCCAGGCACACACAAAGAAAATCTCACTCATTCCCTTGCACTCTGCGAACCATGGACAATAATATAGGCAAAACACTGCCTTAGCCGGACTCCTTTCGTTCGTGAGCTGCTGCTGTGGACCAGGCCGGGGGGGGGGGGGGGGGGGGGGCCGCCCCGTCCCCCCCCTTGTAGTTGCTGTCGCCTGTGGATACACCCGTACATTCTTCCTTTCACCTTCTCTTTCACTCACACTGTCTCTCCATCCACTACTCAGCTCGTCATACGTTGAAAAGTTGCCCACTGATCATGTTTAGTTAGTGTGTGTATAAGTTTGTGTGTGTACATGTGCATGATGGTGGTGGGTGTGTGGTGGGTGTTACTGAAGGTTGTCTGTAAGCGGGCGTTGCCATGCGGTGTTCCTTCCCAGACCAGAGGCAGAATGAAAGTTGGCGCCGAACTCTCGCAATAAATAGGCAAAAAATCACGAGACCGGAAGCCGGAAACCGTTCGGAGAAATAAAGATCGGCACTATTTTTCCGAACGTTCGGAGAAATAGTCACTTCGAAAAAATAATAACTCGCACACACACACACACACACACGCACAGACACACATACACACATACACATGCACGCAAACAAACAAAGACACACGGAGGGCATATAGGCCAAGGAATTTATGGACACCCCTGGAAAATGTTAAAGTCAGCTTTGGCAGTCACCTTGGTGATTTGCTGTTGATCCCGATTTTTTTCTCCCTGGGATCCTGATTTTGAGGTTTCATTGAGTGGCAGGTCTGTGTGTGGACAAAATTTTTACGAAGTGACTATTCGGACGATCCGAATAGTAAAAAATTACCCAGATCTATATTCGGACTCTGAATTGAGTCCAGCATGACATCCGTTCCGATTTCCGACACTTTTTTCTAAATATTTCCAGCATTTACGAATATTTTTTCTATTATAATGATATAACAGTCGAGACGTGAGCTTTAATATATCCAGTTACTAGATTTCTAGATCTTAGATTTAAATGTTGCGAGCGCCGTAAAACCTTATACTATACTATACTATACTCAGATTTAAACTGGCCCTCCCTGCATCATTGTTTGTTTTAAGCTCCTTGATATGAACAGAACGACTAAGTTGAGCTGATCTTGCCAGAGGCAAAGTTAATTATGTCGACCAATCTCGCACTCTCGGCTTGCTGGGGGAAGAGGCCACAGCTGTCGGTTTTGTGCGATGTGATTTTAAAAAATAATTACGGAAAAACTATAACGCGCAACAACAAAATCAAATTAAACATTTAGAAAGACAAATGGTGGTGGAAGTAATGATGATGCTGTACTGGTGGTGGAAAGACCCTGGTTGTCAGTTACCGTGTACTTAACTCCCATTGGGTAAATCTAATGAGAGTGCAGTCTTTTGACTTTGACACAAAATTACAGTCCTAGATCTAGTAGGCAATTCAAGTTATAATTTTGGTTTTATGTAAAATCCCCCGACGACAGTTATATTATGTAGCCTCCTTACACTCATCATGTAATTGATTTAGAAGCTGAGTCCGAACAAATAAAACATTTTTTGGGACCCGTTTTTTTTTAAAGATGTATTTTGGTCCTACAAAAACAATAAAAAAATTGTTATTGTTTTTATACATGCTTTTGTCATCATTGAGGGGGTTCTCCTCCCCCCCCCCCCCCCCACGAACGATTACGTTATATATAGCTTTGTAGGTGGATCAGCCAGAAATATTTTCTTGAATTTTGATGAACAGCCAGAATTATAGTAGAGCCATCGTTTAGAATTTGCGTAATTTTTCGTATGGCAGACAGTTTGGGATCTTGCTAGGTTTATGTTGTTCACCTTGCCAAAAAGATTGACTTTTTGCAACATGATTGGGGAAGCACATATATACACTGGGGTCGGATGCAGAAAAAGTAGATGTGTCTGAAGGATTTGATTACAATTTTGATTAGGAAAGTGACTTTTTCAGAGATTCAAAATTGTCTGTAAAAAAAATATGCTGTCTCTTGAGAAAAGTACACCTTTCAAGTTTCGAATTCTCACAAAGAAATGAATTATCATTTTGTCTATTATTAACTTGACCATTCAGTAAAATTGGTGTGGGTAATTGGAGACGGTTAGAGTGCGTCCTTTGGCCAATAAAAGTTAACTTAAAAAGATTCTGTTTTTTTTTCTCAAGTTTTTATGGTTCTCTGAATTCTGCTTTGTTGTAAACAAATCAGTAACAGGGGCTACTGTGACATGAATATCTTTTCTAAGTAATATAAATATAAACTTAAATTGACTTATTATTGTTTTCACCTTGATTTATGATTTCTCCATGTCTTTTTTAAAATGTCTGATTTTGAAACTTGCAACCATGAGTGAAATTTTCATGCTGCTCTCACTGTTGTCTCTTGTCAGCAAAATCATGACTGCGGCCGTGGTGGGCGTCACCCGTTATCTGGAGCTGCGTGAGCTTGGCCTCACTCGAACTCCCAAGTTTGCCAAGTGTTTGAAGACTGTGGAGCGTTTGCTTGAGGAAGAGGCCGCCAAACCTTTGTACAATCAGGTAGAAAACATATATAATGTTCTAGCTGATAAAAGAATTCACATTTTTTTCCATCTAGTTTGGATTTTGATCAAGTCGGCCTGCCCTTTCAACCGTAAGATTTTTCCTTTCTTTCCCCCCCCAGATCCTGACTGGTTTTTCTTGTGGCTTGACAATTTCTTTAGTCATGGAAACAGTCTTCTTCTCTTCTCTTTAGAACCTCCGAAACCACTTCTATTTCAAAATATATTCTAAAACTGCATTCCTCCTTTGTTGTGTTTGATAAAAAATTTCTCTGCATTTTTTTAACACATAGGTTGTTCGATGAAAAATTTAGAAAAAATCATTTTTTAAATGTGATGACTGTCAGTAAATGATATTAAGGCTGCCAGCTTAGCTTGGTCACAGTGAGGAAAATGGTCTCCTAGGGAAAGAGCTAAATGCCACAAAATTGGCTGTATGGGATATTAAAATACACATTATTGTGACAAGATTTACAAGTCTGGTCCATTTATATATTTTATCATGAATAATATTAAATATTTCTTTTGTTCATATTCAATTTTTTCAGCCATGTGAGTTCTCTGGTGAGCCCAGGTCCACATACCTGATGGATTTTAGTCCTAACAAGTAAGTACTTTCTCGACCTGTAGCATGGCTTGAGATTTCAAGTGGGTTGTTTTCTTTTTGTATTAATCTGGTGTTTTAGCTTTCCATAAATTGCATAGTGTTTGCTGATATATTATTAAGTTTTCTGAGAAATGGTGGGAATTTCAGCAGTTTTACAGCATTGTTGTTTTTACCCTATGCTGTCCTTTTTTTTTTTTTGACTCTTCTCTCTCGACTTGAAAATTTCTACTGTTTGAGACTTCGTAGTGGAAAGTGTAGTACTTGAAGAAGCCTTCGTGGGCTGCTTGCTGATAAAAATAATTAGGAAAAACACACACAGACAAAAAAAGACAAATGCATTTTCTGGGACACTTGATTATGGACATCTAGAACAAAACTGAGGGCAAAAGAGGCAGGGATAGACTCAAAGCATCCTACTTGGAGACATGAAACCGATGGGGGATTGGGAAATATCAAGATAAAATTGCTTTTTTTGAGAGCATCCAAGCAAAGGAATGGATGGAGAACCATGATGGCTGATGTCTGTCGCAGATCTGGCACTTGATAGTGATGAATTCTTTTTCAGATCTCGTATAGCTTCAACTCACGGTGATCACACTGTGCGAGTTACAGACATACAGACAGGTCGCTGTACACACATTCTCACTGGTCATCCACGTACCCCGTGGTGTCTCGCCTTTCACCCGGCTTCTGATGATATCTTGGCCTCTGGCTGTCTGGCAGGGGAAGTTCGGATCTGGGATCTGTTGGTGAGTTATTTCTTTGTCACAGTTTTGCTCTTTTGGCTTTAGCCACCTTCTTTCTTTTTCCTTCAGCTGATTTTGTGATTGGGCAGTTACTTATATAATATATATTTGGACAGAAGGGCGAGAGCCCAGCTGTTGCTGGATTGATAACAACAACAACATATAATATATATGTAAGGGTTGAATTAAGGGGAAGGGGAGTGGTTATTTACAATGACGAAAGACTGGCTCTTTTTTGGATGGAAATGATCATGGCCAGTTAGCACTTCCAGCAATTACTAAATGCTCTGTGGGTTTTATTTATTTTCTATAGATTGAAACAAGCATGGCACCCTTTCTGTCAAGTCAACACTGCACACTTTCAGGTGTGTGTCATACAGTGCTCTGTTTGAGATTTGTATGTGGTTACTTTTTTTTATTCTTCTAGTTTTGATGGTAACTTCTCGGTCAATAGCCATGAATCCCGTTATATGATTTTTAAGTTTTGTGTTTCCCTTGTTATGCCACCAGGGAGGTGGAAGCGAAGTTCTCCAAAACCCCATTGCGGGTGCGGTGATCACCTCTCTATCGTTCCACCCAACCGAGCACCTCCTGGTCTTCTCCACCATGAACCGGATCCACTTCTGGGACTGGCACAAACCCCAGCCTTTTGCCTCCGCCTGTACCTCCAGCTTGAATGAACGAGTCAGGTATGCCAGAGAGATTTAGAGCCTGATGACTTTGTTTAGTTAACGGCACTGCTTGTAGTTTAAATAACTCCTTGTGGGTGGTTTGGCGGATGCTGTGGTGTGGTTTGCTCCTTCTCTCCTATCAAACATCTATCGTCCTCATCTCTCCTCCTACTTTTTTGTGTTTGTTACTCTATTGTAACACCTAATCTTTGGCACTTTTATGACCTTATTGTGTTGGAAGTTCCGTTAAACTCTTACTAAAATTAAAAACTCCTCGTCTCCTGCACGCAGCTGGGAGCGGCTTGCGGTCAGTACAGTTGTACTGGTGAGCCGCTGGCATTCCAATGTATCTTCTGTTAATAAAGGGGAAAAAACAATCTTGGCACATGGATTGGAGTAGCCACCTCATAGTATTTTCTTTTTAGTGTTGTTTTGTCTTAGTCATGACTCATGGTGAAATGTAACCACGGAGTCACTCACTGATCTTTTTGGGAAGAAACGTATATTTTTGGTGAGGCTGACTTCCATGTTTTTGTTACAAACTTACTTTACCTGTTGTACTTGTTCCGTTTTCTCGCGCACTTTAAGCTGTCCTCACACGGAGTTGAGAAAATTATGTCGATACTTTCTTGTCCATGAACGTTGATGTCAAGCTGATGTACTGTTTGTTCTTTTTTGTTTTCCTCAGGTGGATTCGTTTTGATCCATTTGGTGAAATTCTGTACACTGGAATTTCCAACATCACAAATCCTAGTGATGATATTGACCTTGGATATGTTATTAACACCAGGTCAGTAATTCTATCCTAATATTTCTCTGGTTTGGTTTGTTGTGCAGTTATTAGCCGTAAATGTTTCCAGATTATGGGTTATGATGCTTAAAACTAGTCACTCAATAGTTACTGATACTGACTTTTTTTTTTACTGAATGCTTTTTTGGTTAATGTTTGTAAGTACATGTACTTTGTCATAAACTTCGATCTGTCTGTATTTAAAGCTATAAATGTTTAAATAATAATTGTTTGATTAGTTCGTCAAACCATGATTGGCAGATTGTCTATGTTGTGCAAAGGAAATATAAATTGCCTGTACGTCACACAAATTTGTGGTAACCAAACTTTTTTTCCCTCCTTACTTTTTATTTCTATGACTTTGAAGTCAAACTTCCACAAACATCCACCTGTCCAGGACAGTCACCTTTATCAGCAGCTACTTCTCACGTCCCCCTTGTGTTTTAAAAATATTTCAATAACACTTTTTTAGATGGCTGCCCCTCTTAGTCGACCACTTTTCTCTGTGGCAGTGGGTGCATAAATTTTGAATTACGATTTTTCAGTATTTTCCAGTAGCAATCTTGCTTCTTTGAGTCGAGAGTGGGGAGGAAAAATGGAATTGTAATATTCATATATGTAGTAGGCAGAAACATGTCATGGGTGGTTGGCGGGTGCTCTGGTGTGGTTTGCTCCTTTTTTCCTATCAAACATCTATCGTCCTGATCTCTCCTCCTTGTTTATGTTTGTTACTCTCTTGTAACACCTCTAATCTTCCGCACTTATGTGACCTTGCCGTATTGTGTTGCAAGTGCCATAAAACTCTTACTAAAAAAGTTTTTAAAAAACATGTTGTCAGTGGGATTTTGGAGGAAACGTCTTTCAGGAAAAAACCAACTTGTTTCTGCTTTTGCCTTGTCAGCGACGGCAACCCCGAGAATCCCGAGTCTGACAGCCAGGAGTCCCAGGACGAGAGACGAACCAGCCAACGGCTCAACCGTGTGCGCTATCGGAGGCTGCTGCGTCGCTTTATGGCGTTTCAGCAGGGGAGAACACGGGCTGGTATGTGTGTATGGTCTCCAGATTATATTGAACAGTGATGTTAATCTTCCTAGGATCCGAGGAAATCTGGGTTTTTGAGCCTTGCCTTACTCTTGCTTTTACTAGAGTGTACTGTACTTTCTTTTCATATCATCGTTAAACAAGAGATTGGGGGTGTGTTTCAGTTTGGTCGTGGCACCAATGTTTGACTTTTTATCTTCAGCATCACTGATTGAAGCTGATTGATGCCACTATTTCCCGAGGCTGGGGATGTTTTGGGCTTTTTTTTGGTACTTTATGTGATAGGTTCTGATGCGCACATTGTATGTAATGATAGTTTTCTCAAGTGTGTCATGGTCTGTAGGCTGCACCACTGGATGTGCAGTCCAGGAATCATGGGTTCTAGCCTTGGTCAGTCAGGAAGTTTTTTCTCGTGGACAGTGTTTTCTTTAGCTTGTCAAGTGGTTTGCTGGTGAGCACTCTAGCGTGATTTGTTTCTCTTTTGTAAAAGTTTTACGGCACTTGCAACTCAATAAGGTCATATAAGTGCCGAAGATTAGAGGTGTCACAAGAGAGTAACTAACACAAAAAAGAAGGAGGAGAGATAAGGACTATAGATGTTTGATAGGAAGGAAGGAGCAAACCACACCAGAGCACTAGCCAACCACCCACATGTGATCTTTTGACTGGTTGGGGTGCAAGACTGTAAACTCTCGCACCATCACTGTTCATGATGTTTTTGGACATTATCTGGTAATTCTGACCCGTGCACGCCTTTTGTCTAAAGTGACTTTGGAGTTCAATATTTGAGGATTGTATTTTTAACTGTTGTATGTTTTAGCATGATGCCTGTCTTGTCCAGTTAGCTTGATTATCTTTTTCATTTAATGAATTTTGAAGATATTCTCATGGAGATATTATCTACATATTCCTCTCTATTGTTCGTTAAAAATAAAAATGATGGAAAGCCAAATTAAATATTTTTTGAAGATTACTGTATTCTTTGTCTTACTTCTCTGAAATTGCTGTATTTATAGTCGAAATGAAGAAAATAATTTTCAGTATGTTTTCTCTTTGCAGTTCTTGTGTACTAAAATAGTTCTGTTGATATTTTTGTTGTTGTTTATTTTTGAAGCTGAGAGTTACCCGCCACCACGTGATGCGAGATCACCTGTCCACGAGGAGAATTTGAACAACGCTCGTCAGTTTGCTGCGCATGTGACTCGAGCTGTGGTTGAAAGTGCTCATGAGGATTCTGTGATGGATTTACGGTGAGTTTTCTTGGGAGTTATTACTGTATACAGTATAACACAGATAGGTAGAACGCAGAAGACTCGAAATCACGCATCGGACGAACTGTGCCTGCGGTTCCATTTTTTTTCTTCTTTATCTTTGTCAGATACCCCTTGAACTACGGATCCTTCGAACTACCAAGGCCGGTCGTGACGAATTCGAGCTATCCATGTACTTTAACAGTATTTTTGTTTGCCATTCTTCTATTCTGTTGAGGAATGTTTTACGGTTGTATTTGTCCCGGTCTGTTTCGTGGGTGGTTGGAGGGCGCCACCAGCAGGTCCCACGTCTTTACTTTCCCTGCTTAGTTTGTATGTCTCACTTTTTCCCTTCACTAAATGGCCATTATTGTGACGATGTTTTTCTCTTTACAACAGAACAAACCTCTCTGTTTCTTCTGAAATGTGATGGTTACTTTCCCATTTGTCTTATATCCAGAGGCTGACAGTGGTTGTTTTTTTTTTGGGGGGGGGGGGGGGGGGGGGGGGGGTTGGCTGAAATCAAAGTAGAGGTACTGTGTGTCATGTTTGTTATTGTCTTAGTAGAGGAACTGTGTGTCTTGTTGTTTGTTATTGGTGGGTGGTTGGCGGGTGCTCTAGTGTGGTTTGCTCCTTCTTTCCTATCATACATCTATCGTCCTGATCTCTCCTCCTTTTTTGTGTTTGTTACTCGCTTGTAACTCCTCTAATCTTAAGCACTTATATGACCTTATTGTGTTGCAAGTGCCGTAAGACACTTACTAAAACTAAAAGTTTGTAATTGTCTTCTTTTCCACAGAGTTGACCGAGGGGGTAGTGGCTGGAGGAGTCGCAGTGACAACAGCGCTTTTGACACAGTCGGGGACACTGCAGGTGCCTCGTCGGCTGACCACTGGCCAATCAGCGGAGACCCGCCGTCTGCTTCTCGGAGACCGGAGACTCGCCGTTCAGTGGCTCCCGTTGCCAATCGTCGCTGGGGACGTTATCAGCCGAGTTTCTTCAGGCAAGATCGGGAGACTTCGGACAGAATGCAGATGGAAGACGGGAACAACAACAGTCATCGGACAGACCTGAACTTGAGACCGGGCTCTGGGGGGCCATCTCCTCTCAGGGACCGAGGATTGCCGGGGCACAGAGCCACTGGACTGCCATCTGACAGTGATTTAGGGTTGCCGTCTGACAGAAGTGTGGGGTTGCCATCTGGCAGTGGCCTGCGGTCATCGGCTAGCAGCACTGTTGGGCTGCCGTCATGTCTTGATCTAAGTGTGCCATCAGCCCGTGTCACCGGGGCACCTTCCAGCTCCGAACCTGTGCCTTCCCCCATGGACTTAACCATGCCGTCTCAAAACGCTGGGCCGCCTCCGGCCAGCAATGATGAACTGCTGTTTCAGCAGGTTGCTAACCCCCCACCCAGCAGAAGAGCAGTGCCACCGTACGTTAGGTTGCCGATGTACCTTGATGATGTGACCCCGCCGACCCCTGGTGGTTTTGAGGTGCGCAGAACGGACGCTCTGTTTTCCCCCGTGGAGGCGAGGCGAAGAGCCCTGGGGCTCGGGGAGTATGGTTCAGGGTCCGGGGGATCCGACGTGACAGAACCTTCGCCTGGTCGAAGGCAGCCCCATGCCAGTTTGGACTTCCGCCCGTGGGCAGCGACCAGCAATGAGCAGCGTGACAGGGGCAGTGGGTCAGAGAACTTCTTGGAAGACAACGAGTTCGAGATTTTGCCGGTGGACCAGGGACGCGTGGGATCTGTCGAACAGGGGCAAGAGGGAGAGCCGAGAAGTAGTGACACAGAAAGTGACCCCGCGATGTCTCGCCTGCGCCAGCTCGTGGCCTCGCACGCTCTGCGCAGGGCACGTGGTGGAGGTCCGCCGCCGGACATGACTCTTTCTGTTTACATGCCATCTTCGGGACCCGAAATCGGGCAGGGCGCCAGAGAACCTGCCAGCAATCCTATTGTGCGGAGAGACGTTTTCTTTGGTTTGGGTCGTAGTGGTGCTTCGGAAAGTGAAACTTTTGGTACCAGCAGCCCAGCGTTGTCAACGCAGATACAGGATGGAGGAGAGTCCTCTGTTGCCATGACAACGGCAAATACGAGCTTTCTGTGGCGCCCGGCACTCACAGAAGACAGTGTGTGGAGGAGTGCAGCATCGAGCAGGTCCCAGCACGAGTCACCGGAGGAGAGAGAGCCGTACAGGCCAACGACCTCAATGTGGTGGGCGGGGCCTCGTAGATCCTCCTACCAGAACACATCAGATGACAGAGGGGGGCCATACCAGGTCTCTATGCCGGATTGGAGGAATCGCAGGCGTCTGCACGGAGAATCTGATGGGAACTTTCGTCGCTCTTTCAACTTCCAGCTGCCGTTTGCCCGACCTGGCAGTCCAGTGATGAGGCTTTACCGCAACGTAACGGACCGGACCAGCCAGACGTTTGGGGCCATGAGTCTGCCGCAGAGTTTTGACCAAGGCACAGATGTGATGGAAACCAGTCCTGTCGCTGATGATTTGAGGACAAGACACGCACAAGACGGGCAGGGGAATGAGGTTGGCTCACGTGCCTCGGGTCAGAACGGTTCGGCTAGTGCAACAACAGCAAAGTCCCCGTCCTCCCATGGCAGTGACCCTGCTTGTGTTTCTGAAGAACACAGGGGGACTAGTTTCGGCAATAGAGACGGTAGTGCTCCAGGTTTTGATACAGACAATGGTCGGGCAGCTTCCTCAGCCAGGAATGATATTGCCACCAGCCCGGGGTTGCCCTGTACAGAACCCCATGCCCCTTCGTCCCAGCCTCCAGTATTAACCACTGGAGGAGTAGGCTGCTCTGATCTTTCACCCATACACTCTTCTCCGCCGACCGGGACTGTCAGTGCTCCACATCGCGCATCAGATGTAGCTCCCGGTCTCTCGCTGCCTGCTGTGTCCACCACCTGTCCCTCCTCCTCATCCTCTTTTGCCCCTTCATCATCCTCCACATCATTGTCGAGTCAGAATTCGTCTCACAGTACCATTCTTGCTAATGTACCAGTGAGTTGCACAATCACCACTAGTTCCCCCCAGCGACATGGACCCGCCCTCTCTCCTGTCTGCCGTCAGAATATAACGCTTAGTTCTTGTTCTCCTCCCTCCCAGTTTGTGTTGTCTGACGGTTTACCATCCTCTACACTGCCTGTTACATCTTCTGGTCCTATTTCCACCTCCCTCTACACAAGGGCAGACCATTCCTCCCCGTACACATCACAGACCTCGTCTGTGAACTCATTGTCTCCTCAAGTCCTCATGTCCACCAGCCCACCCTCTCCCGCGTCCTCCAGCTCAGGCCCTGCTCCGCAGCACATCATGTCTGTCACGTCCGCTGCCTGCTTGTTGCTGTCGCTCAACCAATCTGGCCGTCCCCTCTTCTCTTCGCCCGCGTCGGAACTGTCCACAGTGGCAGCCATCTCAGGGGGCGCCTCGGTGTCGGGCACGTCGGTCAGACCCACCCCTTTCGCATGCGCCACCGCCTCCGGACAGAGTCGAAGAAGTGCTGAGACGTCGGTCAACTCACTGGACCTGCGAGAAAGAAGCAGAGACCTAGAGGCCAGGCCTCATGCAGAAACACCTAGTAGTACGTGGAGGAGAAGGAACACCATGGCCATAGCCAGACTTACACATTCTTTGCGCAATAGAACACACGCCAGCCGGGTGCTTCACGAGCAGGAACTGAGACGTGCTGGGGTCACCTCTTATGTCGGGAGACAGTACGATCTCGAAGGATCAGGAACAGAAACAATGCATGTTCTCCCGCAGTTGGGGTCCAGAAGAAATTCGGAGGAAGATGCCCCACTTGCCTCCCGGGACAGCTCACGCGGCAATGACTCGTTGATGAGCTCAGACATCTTTGACAGAGCTCACGATACTGCGCCCTCGGCCGGTCGCTGGGGTCGGAGAAATACAACCAGCGAGGCGGGTGGGTCTTGGCCGGATTGTTTGCCCGCGGCGCGTGTAGAGGGGAGTGTGAGCCCTGATGTCTCAGACAGTGTGCAGCAAGACTCCGAGCTGCCGTGGCAGAGAAGGTTTCCGATGAGGGGAGATAATTCGTCTGTGGAAGATACCCAGCACGCCGCCGCCTCCAGACCAAGCTCCGAGGGTCCGTCAGGGGAGATCTCTCGAGGGGCGGATGCGGGTGGGCGGCCAGCGGAGGACCCGTCTGGCCAGTCGGCGTCCAGCATGGAGACGATGCGTGACATGCAGGACCGGCTGCAGCAGGCCGTGCAGCAGCTGCGCGAGGTGCAGAGCAGCGTGCAGAGACTGGCCTCCTCGTCTGGACAGCCGCTCGACGACATGATGCCCACAGAGGACGTGACCGAATACCTGGAGCATCGGGTCAGTCACACTGGCGGAATATGATAATAATAGCACAGTCTGTAAAGATAAAAGTAATAAATAGAATTTGTTTTAGCTCAAATTTCCACTCAACAGCTCTATGCTTAATGAATAATGTATTGTAAATTGTATCTATAGTGCCCATGTCCCTACCCAAAAGTACGCTCATTGGGTGGTGAAGGGGGCCTGTGGGTGAATGGATTTAACCCCCCCCCCCCCCCCCCCCCATCATGTTTTTCTCGACTCTGTATAGTATAGCTATCATTGTATTGATGTTATGGTTGTGGGCATTCTTTTTTTATATCAATTTATTTATTTTGGGGGGCTGAAAATGAGGGAATAAGATTTTTAGAACCGTTCTTTGAAAAACCTATAAAACTAATCAACAGTCAGTTAAAGAGTATTTGCAAGGGTCCCAGTCCAGTGTAGAACAAGCAGATTTAAGAAATATTGCGATTTATTGAGATCATCAGTCTGCTATTGCAGTGTGTGTACTAGATCTATTAATGGTTTTGTTCTCTCTGTGTCAGGTGTCAGAATTGGACCGCAGAATCTCGAACCTGGAACAAAGCTACAACACGAGGCTGAGGATGTGCCAGAGAGCTCTACTTCACAGGTGGGGGAAAAACAGATGTTTCTTTGTCTTGTCGCTTGTTGTTGTAGGCCACTTGGTGAGGTTTGCTCCTTTTATTTTCAAAAATCACCAAAAACACTGTTTTTGTTGCTCTGGCTTGACTAAATTGTTACTCGCCTGCAGATTATATATTGCTCAGTCTAACATTTAGGTCTTGACATGCTTGCAAGTTGTTCCCCCTACAAGAGCGATAAATAGATTCAGTTTATCTGTTGTAAGTCTTGTCTACTGTCTACGCCAGTTTCACAGTATAAAAATAGAGACAAAGACAAAGGTTTGTGTCAGCAAATTGCCTCATTGTGGGTTTTATTTCTCAAGTTGATGTGCTTCTGCCTTAGTCAGTTGGATTTGCTTTCTATCAAGCGTTGTCCGGTTAATTTTTATCTACATATATATTGTGATTTTGATGCCTTTTTACTGGCTTCAACAAAGACTAGTTTCTTATTTAAAAGGACAAACTATGAACAAATGTTTTTCCTGTTGCAGAATTCAGGGCATCAGGGAGAGGCGCATCTCATCGCACAGCCCGTTCTACAGAACTGGACTGTCTCGCGGGAGACAGCGACCAGGCAGCAGAACCGAAGACGGTCAAGAGGCTGAGAGTAGCAGAGGAGGGAGACCTGGTCTGCGGAGACGAACCAAACTGACGATGGCTCAGAGACTGCGGGCAGCCAGCCGGCCCGGTGGACTCCCCAGATACACACCGTCCACTCCGTCCACTTCTGCGTCCAGTCCCCCATCTGGAGGTCAGTACTTGCACATTTGTGTGTGTGTATGTGCACTGACAGAACTGCACTTCTCATCCTTTTAGAAAAATAAATCTCATAATGATTGTTAGATATGTAAAATATGTAGTTTATGATTTACGTATTGTCACACTGGGGATTGGTACTTGTTATTTTAGTACTTGATTCTGTATCAGTAAAAATATGTTATCTGTTTTTGAGCAAAAGCTGTTTTTGGTGTTGTTGTAGACCTTGAGCATATGCCCTTAAGCCCAATGCCGTGTCATAAAAGGTGGAGATCTTCAAAAGTTGATCTTTGCTGCAGTACAGGGTTATCATCTGTGGTGGGGTGGGTGGAGAGGAAGAAGTTAATTTTTAGTAAAGGTGCACATTTCTATTGAGCTAATGTCTTCCTTTTGGTACGTTTTGTATGTGTGTGTGTGCACGTGTTTTTGTGTGTGTGTGTGCACGTGTTTTTGTGTGTGTGTGTTTCCCCAGCCCTAAACGGCTCATATCAACTAGCTTCCTTTTGATTTAACCAACTAAACCTTTTCCCCAACAGGTCACCAGAATAACACGCTACTGCGGTGTCTGCGGCAAAGTCATCCAGCCTCCACGTCCTCGTGAGTAATGTCTTCCAGTTTTGTTTGTTTGTTGTCTTTCTTTTTTTATTGGGAGGGATATCGTGTTTCAAATATGGTAATTTGGAAATAATATGGTACCTTTGTTTTTTTCTTGACCTGGTAATAAGTGCTTTTGTTATTTACACAGTCTCAGTAGCGCCAATCTTAACCAAGACTGTAATGGTTCCAGATGGAAGTCTGCAGTTAGTGTAGTATTTTGAAAAATTCCTGGCAAAATGCTTCGGGCCCAAGAAATATCTACTGATGCAGATGTATTATGTCGACAAATTTTCTGTAAGAAAATAGCTTGTAGAATTCTGAGAAATGGTGGCAAAATGCTTCGGGCCCATGGAATATCCACTGATGCAACCATATCATACATGGACAAAGGGATAATGGGTGTGTGTTGTGTTTCAGTAGTTGTTGGTTTGGGTTCCAATTTATTTGCACCGGAGGAGCAGGCTGCTCTGTATGTTAGTGTTTTAGCACCTATAAATGGCTGCTTGCACTGTATGCTTCCCAGGAAGTTGAGATTGTTTCAGAATGCTCTCAGGTCTGCTGGGGTAATAGTATAGACTGTGAAGAGCATAGAGCTTGCTGTTGAGAGGGGATTTGCGCTATACAAATGCTATCTATTATTATTTCTATTTTCAGAAGCACACCAGCCCAACGAGCATCTAGCAGCACCTCCACTCGACCATCAGAAGAAGTGCGGTCTATCACAATCCAGGCCGGGGAAGAGTCGACGGAGCGGACGCAGCAGAGCTGGCAGGGTCTGCGCCACGTTCACCTACACCCCGACTACTCACACAGCATTCTGGACGACGCGGTGAACAGGCCGCGGTGGTTGTCCCAGAACTTGATGAATAATACTATAGCTCGTGAGTGTCGTGTCCTAGAACTGGATGTATAATGCAATTTGAATTAATCAAAATGTATCTGCTCTTGGTCATGCCTTCAGTATTTTGTATACAAGTCACAACTTTTGTAAAGGTCTGCTGTGATGCTGCAACATTTTGGGATGGCCGTTGAGTAAACATTTTTATGTGAACTGAGTTGGCAACATTTTTATTTTATTTAGAAATTAGTCTTTCTTTCAAAAAGTGTTTGCTAAAACTATTTCTTTGTTATTTGTGGTTTCCATTGATGCTGAAAAGAAGACTGCAAATGAAGGTGTTTTGAGGTTATTTGTGTTTTTTTGTTTTTTTACAAATGTGAAGGTTTTCCTGGCATAAGAAATTGATTTAGTCCTGAACAACTACGATCCTATAAAAAAAAGTAAAACTGAGAAAGCAAAGATTTCACATGTTCAATCTTTTTTGCTTCAGAAAATTTCCTGAGTCGAGAAGAGTACGCTGTGGCTAACAACATCATCCCCGACACCCACCGCATCCAGTACTGGGACCTGAGGAAGTGTCTGGTGCCAGATATCTCTGACAGTGAGTTACAATTGTGTGGTGGTTTACAGTCGGCTGGTCAGTGTTACAGCTGTGTTAGTTTACGGAAGGTAGCTGGTGGGTTCCACTTTATGATGATAATGATAATGATAATTGCATTTATATGGTGTCTATCTGCATTAAACAGCATGTGCTGTGAGCTTTACAAATATTATTACTCCAGTAGACCCTAGAATAGGCCATTCCCAAAGGGAGGGTATTAGCACGTTCTTATGCACAGTAGAATTGTAAATGGGGTGATTTATCAATGTCATGCTCATACTACTGTGCTGAAACAATGTACGGGGAACTGCTGCTTTTTCTTTCCTAATCCTTACTATCATCGTTTTGCCCCTATTTCTTTTGTATGTTTGTTACTCTCTTGTTGACTGCCATTTCCAGGGTGCCTTGATAGTTGAAGCTGACTTTGTGCTGTTGAAGCTAGACAGGTCAGCAGAGTGAGTCTGATTCCCTGTTTGGACTTCTCTGTTGACATCCACCCCTTGGCGTTCACATCACCGTATGCAGTTGCGAGCGCTTTAAAACCTCACAAAAACTAAATTAAAGACCATAGAACACTGAAACAGTTTGGCTTCTGGAGAACCATGGTTTACTGTTCCTGTTGTTTCTGTGTGCCTGTTGATGGTTCTCCCTGGAGCTTGGAAAGGATTCGTACACAAACTTTTTCACCACGCACTTTATTTCTGCCTGTCCTCTGGTTTGACCAGAACAAAATGACCATTTTCGTGTCAACCAATGGTCTTCACTTTACCTCATACCATGACTTCGTGTGTCGTTGGCGGGTGTTCTGGTGTGGTTTGCTCCTTCTTTTCTATCAGACAACTATCGTCCATCGTCTTTATCCCTCCTTCTTTTTTGTGTATGTTACTCTCTTGTAACACCTCTATTCTTTGACACTTATCATATGACTTTATTGTGTTGCAAGTGCCGTAAGACTCTTACTAAAACTAGAATTAATTAAATGATCAATGGTCTTCACATTACCTCCCACTTGTGACTTCCACCTCCAGGCAAGGCGAATGTGATCGTGCCTCACTGCAAGCTCCACAACGACGCCAGCGTGGACATCTCCCAGGACGGCACTCTCCTGACGACCATTGTGCCGAGCCTACGGGGCTTCCCCGACGGTAACATCCTGGCTGTGTTCTCCCTGCGGCCCGACTCCCTCGCCCAGTGCCTGTACACCAAGAAGTTTGGTAAATATCTCTGCGGGGACACACAGGGCTCCTGCTGTGTTCTTGAATTCTAGGAGTCCTTGAATTTCGCCAGATCGGACATGAACAAAATTTCTGTAGGAAAATCGATACTACTATTCCTTTCGGACAAGTGTAGGCCTATCAGAAATAGGCTTTCAGCATGCCATGACTTTCTTCACCAAATCTCCTTGAATTTTTAGAATTTTTCCTTGAAATCTTGAATTTGGTTGGGAGTTCATGGCAGGAACCTTGTGTACATTAAGAAGTTCCTGTAAATATCTTGGAGGACACGCACATGTCGTGTGGCCCAGTGCTTATTAACCAAGAAGTTTGGTAAATATCTCGTTGGACACACGTTTCATGTGGGTCAGCTGGCTGCTCAAAAATAAAGACAGAAAGACGTAGATTTTGGTACACATGAGATTGAAGTTGTCCATGGCAGGTCTCTGTTCTCTGCTGTGCTGCCTCTTTATTGTTTCTGAAGTCTTGCCTCCCCTTCCATGGAGGGTCTTTGTTCTCCGCTGTCCCGTTATTGTTTCTGATATCTTGTCTCCTCTGCTGTGCTGGTTGAAGGATGCCACTTGTAGATCCTACTTCTGCTCTTTTCCTTTGTTGTCACTGTCTGTGTCTGTCTGCCTGCCTGTCCATCTGTCTGTCTGTGTCTGTCTCTCTCTCTCTCTGTCTGTCTGTCTGTCTGTCTGTCCATCTTGCTTGTCTCCTGCACTAAATGACTGTTGTGTCAATGCCCTTCTCATTACTCAAATGAGACCAAACAGCTCTGAATGACTGAATGTGTAATGGCCTGTTGCAAATGGCTTAAAACGCTTACTAATTTTAATTATTTTTTAAATCATATAATCTCTACCCACTGCTTGATTCCTCCCCCCCCTCCCAGGTCCTAACGCCATCTCTGTGAGCCTGAGCCCCAAGAACAACTTTGTAATGGTGGGCCTGGCCTCCAAGCGCTACTTCTACTTCATCACGCCCACCATGATGGTGGCCCAGGTGTATCAGCTGGTCAAGCAGAAGGCCGGAGAGAGGTCCATGCAGGTGAGGCCATGAAAAAACGGCTTTCTTTGTGTGTGGGTGATTGATGGGTGCTCTGGTGTGGTTGGCTCCTTTTTACTAATCAAGCATCTATTGTCCTTGCCTCTCTTCCTCCTGTAATCTGTCTACACTCTTATGACCTAATCGTGGGTGGTTGGTGGGTGCTCTGCTGTGGTTTGCTCCTTTTTTTGTAACACATCTATTGTTCGTCACTTATATGACCTTATTGTGTTGCAAGTGCCGTAAAACTCTTACTAAAACTAAACTTGTGACCTAATCATGTTACCAGTGCCGTAAAACTTTTACG